GAAGGCTGGAGGCAGTGGAGATGTCATGAGTGAGAGCAATCAATATGTAGCTTGAATGTTATGCAGAGAATTCACAGTGTAGAAATTAAATTGTCTGGGGTTACTAAAGGTATAATTCAGAGGGCAGAAGAGGAGTTGTTTAAGTTATTGAATATTTAGAGAGGATGAAGCAGGATAGGATGACCAAGAGGATGTATAAATATGGAAATACTAGTTATTTCAGGCCCATGACTGCTATTGTGTAAAGAGTTCCTAAATAGAAACAAAACGTTATTACCCATTTTAAAATTTTCCTCATATTTATGCATTTAAACAAGTAATATCCTTCATATGCATCTTATTATTATTTATTATTAACACATTAGCCATCTCCCACTAAGGCAGGGTGGCCCCAAAAAAAAAAAACTCATCGTTCATTCCATCACTCGTGTCAGAGGCACTCTTACATACAGCTATAAAACTGCAATATTAACACCCCTCCTTCAGAGTGCAGGCACTGTACTTCCCATCTCCAGGACTCAAGTCTGGCTTGCTGATTTCCCTGAATCCCTTCATAAATGTTACCTTGCTCACACTCAACAGCACATGAAGTCCTAAAAACCATTTGTCTCCATTCATTCCTATCTAACATGATCATACATGCTTGCTGGGAGTCCAAGCCCCTTGCACACAAAACCTCCTTTACCCCGTCCCTCCAACCTTTCCTGGGTCAACCCCTACCCTGCCTTCCTTCCACTACAGATTTATACACTCTTGAAGTCATTCTATTTCCTTCCAACCTCTCTACATGTCCGAACCACCTCAACCACCCCAACCACCCCTTCTCAGCCCTCTGGATAATAGTTTTGGTAATCCTGTACCTCCCCCTAATTTCCAAACTTCAAATTCTCTGCATTGTATTTACAATACACATTGCCTTCAGACATGACATCTCCACTTCCTCCAGCCCAGTGGCGTTGCTAGGATTGGTGTCACCCAGGGCGGCATCTTTGGTGTCACCCCATGAAATCTAAGGGTGGGGGGATGGGGGAGTAAACTCGAGTTACGTCACTACTGCATGCCCAATGACTAATGTTTAGCAATGAGGATGTTTAAGGGCCATAAACTGAACAGGAGAATGTTTCTCAACTTTATTAATGATAAAATAAATAATCTTAGTAATATTGAGGAAACATTAACTCAAATACCACTTTGAGTACAGGCAACAAATTCTTCCATTTATTCATCTTCAACAGTTCAAGAAAAAAAAAAACTAGAAAAATAAAGAAAAATATTGCAATATCAGAAAAACACTAGTTCTAATTTGACCTTGAGTACAGGTAACATCTCAGTGAATCAGATCTTACATTTCCTTGCCTTTAATCCTGCGAAACCATCTATCACATCATCAAAATTAATGCTGTCAGCTGACCCATTTTCTATGGATACCATTGCTGTGTCAGAGATTCTGGATTGACTCATTGTGGACCGTATATAGTTTTTAATCAGTTTCAACTTCGAGTAACTCCTTTCACAAGAAGCCACAGAATGTGAGAGTTGGAAGAGATTCAATGAAATCCCATTCAATTATGAATGTTGGTGCATCCATTGCAGTCCAGTGCTTAATTAACTTTTTCAAGATCAACATCAGCAGCTTGCAGGTGCCTCCTTAGTCTTGATATTTCAAGCATGAACTCATTCTTACATATTTCATTTTAGAAGGCTGTGAGTCTTGAAGCCATCACCTCCAATTCTTCTTCAGTAGCTTGCACAAGATTCTTTGAATGACCACAAACATGGCTGCCACATCCTTGATTGCCTTTGATCGCATCTCGAGTTCATTATGAAAACAATCAATGCACTCCAACATCGCCCTCTTGTTTTCTTCATGTAGAGTGAGTCCGGAATCTCTTGCCTGCTCCCCCTGCCATCCTTTTCTTTAACCTGATTTTTCTTTCTGTTAGAAATCCATGCTCCTCACATTTCAGAAGTGCCTGTTGTATTGAATTTTCCATTATGCGATCTCGCCCTTCATACAAAAATAATTGCAGTGCCTCTAGCTTCACCACCACTTTGTCAAGAGTTAAATCCTTGGTCTGCAAGTACTGCTGTGCGAGCTGAACCTCCCGAAGTATGTCACACCAGAAATACAGATAAAGTAATATCTCGGTTTTCATCCTTTATCCGTTTCAGAAGGTCGGCCAAAATCCAAAATGGGCAAAAACCGAAGTAATATTTCCCACAAGAAATAATGTAAATAAAATTAATCTGTTCCAGACACCCAAAAATATTAACAAAAAATACATTTTATAGAGAATAACTACGTGTATAGTTTTACATACAGGAAACAATGAGAAATAAATATAAATGACTAATTTTAATGAGAAATGAACATTACATACCTTTATTGAAGACTCTTGTTGGTGTATGGAAGAAGGCGAGGAGGGGAGAGGGAGTTGAGGTTATTGTTTGGAAGGGAAATCCCCCTCCATAAGGACTTCAGGTATCAAAGCCTTATCTAGGGTTACTTCTCTTCTTTGTCTTTTACTGGCACTAGGACCAGCTAGGACCAGAGAGGCCTGTTTCTGGCATCTCTTTAAGATTTGCCTAAAATGGGACAAGACATTGTCATTGAACACGTTGCAGACACGGCTTGCAACAGTTTTGTTAGGGTGATTATTCTCCGCAAAATTTTGCAACTCGCTCCACTTTGCACACTTTCCAAGACTGTAGGCATACTATCGAAGATACGGTACTATGCTCCACAGTCAGCCCTCCTGGCCCTATATCACTCTCTTATTTACCCCTATCTCACCTATGGAATTTGTGCATGGGGCTCAACAACAATTAACCATCTCAGACCACTAATTACCCAACAAAAGGCTGCAGTTAGAATGATAACAAATTCTCACTACAGGCAGCACACTCCACCAATATTCAATACACTAAACCTACTCACCATACAAAACATCCATACTTATTACTGCACCTATTACATACATAGAACACTTAACTCTGATATTAACCCCCCCTCAAACATCTCCTTGCCAACCTCAACAGAACACATGACCATAACACAAGGCACAGATCACTCTTTGATGTTCCTCGTGTCCATCTCACACTATGCAAAACTCAATGCACATAAAAGGCCCTAAAATCTGGAATTCATTACCTGTAAATATAAAAGAAACACTACCTGTTTATAAATTCAAGTCTCTTCTCAAAGATCACTTACTCACCCACAACCAAATAAATACTGAATAACTGAACCTGATAAATTGTATATCTTAAATGTTTCTCACAATTATATCACATAAATGTTAAACCTAAAACCCAATCTAACTTAATTATTTTTTAAATACACTACCTAACAGAATACTCCATACGACTGAATGTACAACAATGCATGCAACCATATGACCTGTCTTTGTAATACTCACTTGTGCTTTATAGTAATCTGTTTACATTAATGTTTTATCACTGATTTCATCATTGCTTAGTTAATCTTAAGTTAATTTTAAGCCAGCCCATAATGCTATGCATAATATAAGTGGCTTTGGCATGCTGCTCTTATCTGTATTTTTTTGTACCTCTGTATGTGTGCTCAAATTGTTAATAAATAAATAAATAAATAAATGTCCTTAATCACTGAAAAAGGCACATTCTCCCCTCTCTCTTCCTCCTCCTCCTCCTGTGAAGCAATTTCCTTGTCTGCTGGGGGGGGGGGGGACGCGTCTGATACGGACAATTTCTGAGCGGATGCACAAAACCTTGTGGAAAATTTTGCCAAAAAAGTGCTCGAAATCTGAATTGTACAATTTCCGCACCGGACGAAAATCGGGGGTGCACTGTAACACAAAAATGTGAAATCCGACACAGCAGGGAGAAGACTTTGTGCTGCTCGTCTTGTATCCAAATTTTCCTGTGGATCACAAAGAGCTTCAATCTGCCACAGATTTCATGAACAATTCCGCTACTGGTTTCACTGCTCTGTAATGAGAACTCCATCTTGTTGTGATAATCTTTTCAAAGAGACTGCAGTATGATACATTAATACATCCCATAGATGGGTGGAGGATGCAAAGAATGTGTACACTGACTAAAGACTGACAAAAAATTTCACACATGATGAATTCTCGGCAAAAGAATGCTGACCACACCATAGAGGCTTGATGGTGTCACCAGGGGCAGCCTGCCTCTCCTTTATGACGCCACTGCTCCAGCCGTCTCCTTGTTGCAACATTTACCACTCATGCTTCACACCCATATTAGAGCATTGGTATAACTATACTCTCATACATTCCCCTCTTTAAGATTAAGATTTTTTATTTTGACAAATTACATGGTTGTACAGAGGAATATAATAGTTGGGTGTACATGCCAAAAGCCCCTCTGTATGCTGAGCATTTCAGGCAAACTTAAGATTAACTTAAGAATTGTAAGGCAATAATACATAGTTCATATGGTCATTAGATGAGTTACAGTGAATACAGGAGAATTAAATATTATATCGGGTGATGCTACATGCTTCTATGAACAAAGTTCTTTGTCTCCACAGACTCTTTAGTGCACAACTTGCCTTTTTCCCCTCATCATTTCTATGATTTACCTCATCTTTCATAGACCCATCTGCTGAGACATCCACTCCCAAATATCTGAATACATTCACCTCCTCTGTACTCTCCCTCCAATCTGATACCCAAGCTTTTGTTACCAAATTTTTTTGTTATCCTCATCACCTTACTCTTTCCTATATTCACTTTTAATTTTCTTCTTTTACATACCATAACAAACTCATTCCCACTTTGTGTTAGATTTTTTATCTTTTAACTCCACACCCCTTGCCAACACCTTATTTTTTTGCTCATGTGTTTCAACATATTAATCACATATACTGTACCTTTGTATTTGCTTTATTATACTTCATAGCATTGCTTGATGTTCTTGTGCCCATTGTATTCATAGTTTTAGATCTCTGTAAAAGGGAAAAATTCAAGTCATTAGTTTCAAGATTGTTTCAGAAAGCACAAGATGGCTATCAAGGCACTTCAAGAAGATATGGAGTTCTTAACACTCAGAAACAGCAGTCAAGCCAAAGTAAGAATGCACCTCATCACTCTTCTTCTAATGATGCCCAGGTAGGAGTTCTCTTTATCAAACCATTCCTCATTAATGTAGTGAAACAATTGCATAATGCACCATCATTTCTCACTTCCAAAGGTTTATCTGATGAAAATATAATAGAATATTTAGTTTATTCCAAAGACTTTACAATACCACTTTTCCAGCTTTGTGTATATCATTCAGTGTTACTAAATTTTGAAGAATGAAAATGATGTATCTAGTTTGATCATTTACTTGGGAATGACTCTAGGATTATCCCCTAAACACATAGTTTTTTGCCTCTACTGCTTTTAGCACAGTCAGTCCTCGTCCTCTCTTCCAATCATAAATGGATTTGTTTCTTTGTATTATCTTGGGACAGTTCTGGTGACCCAGCGTCTGTTCGTAAATAGAATGTGAGAATGCAGGTTTATTTTCCACAAGGACACAGTTGTGTAACAGATTGATTAACCCTTGCAAGGTTGAAAATTTTTCAAAAAAAAAAAAAAAAAAAAATTCTCATGAAATGATAGAGAATCTTTTCCCGATTATAATAACACCAAAAGTATGAAATTGATTGAAAACTTACAGAATTATGGTTTCACGAAGTTAGCGGTCTCAACGATGTTTACGCATCGGCGATTTTGCCCACTTTGAGCTCTATTTTCAGCCAATTCCAATGTACCAGGTGACAGAAATCATAACTAATTCACTAAAACTCCATTTGTTCTATCGAATGAGTACAAGAAAACAGCCATTTACCGATTTCGACTATCCAATAAAGTGGTCAGAAATTGGCAATTTCAACAATTTCACACAAATTTCAAAACATGCCAATTTCCAAATAGGGTCCAGAATAAACAAGACAGACATTCCTGGCACTAAAATAACATTTTATCTGTTCATTAGTCATGTCCCCAGGTCCCTCTTTCATTTCTTTTGCTTTCCACTTTGAATTTTTTATTCTCACAAAAAAAGAAGATTTACTGTCATGCAGACTACTGCATTAGTGTAGAAATGGTATAAACAATATCAGCACACTTGTGAAAGAATATTAGACTCACCAGTTGACGTATATTGGACACGTGGCATGATTTGTTTACTTTTGAACATTGGCAAAAATCAAACATTTCTGCTACTTTGAGCTCAATTTCAAGGTACTTTTCATTTTGAAACCAATCAAAATCATCTCAATTTCTGTAATATGTCTTCCATTCTATAAAATGAGACCAGGAAAACGAGAATACAACAATAAATATCATATGAAAATACACTGCAAATTCGCTGTTTTAAACGAAAAACACAGTCGGAGTTTTTTTTTTTCTCATTATGCACTGTGTGCTGCAGGATTTTTTTTATACTGTGCACGCTGACCACATAGATCGATTCTTTCATATGTAGGCCTACCAGCTTTCTCTCGCTAGATTTGAAGGCGCTAGAATTTACTCGTACTAGTACGGCACCAACCCTGGCATGCAAGCCGTACTAGTATGACACCTACCCTGAAAGGGTTAAACATACATTGTAGCATACATGGAAAAGCTCATAGTTCTGCACTGTGTCTTGCACAGACTTAAGAATACAGTGGAACCTCTGCTTACGAGTTTTAATCTGTTCCATGACTTTTCTCGCATCTGGATTTGCTCATTTGCAGAGTCAATTTTCCTCATTTAAATTACTGTAATTGAAATGGAATGAATTCATTCCAGTGGAATTCCAGGCACGAGAAAATACTTCAATAATTTCCCTAATATCAACTCTACAGCTTATTTATCTATTTCAATTCATGTAATATAACATAATAAACAATGGTAATAACATAAAAAACATGATAGTATATACACTAGAATGAATAAAATACATGTCATTACGTATGTGGCTAGTGGTGGTGACAGCGACCATTGTTGTTGTTGGGGTTTATAGGGCCATCACAGCAGACATTCCTGCTCCTGACTACATGTGTATAGAACACTCTTAATGCTACAATTAATTGCTACACTCTTAATACTACACTTTGCCACTGCTGCTTCATGTTGTCTGCCACTGCTACCTCATGATGTCAGCCACTGCTGCTTCATGTTGTCTGCCGCTGCTACCTCATGATGTCAGCCACTGCTGCTTCATGTTGTCTGCCGCTGCTACCTCATGATGTCAGCCACTGCTGCTTCATGTTGTCTGCCACTGCTACCTCATGATGTCAGCCACTGCTGCTTCATGTTGTCTGCCGCTGCTACCTCATGATGTCAGCCACTGCTGCTTCATGTTGTCTGCCACTGCTACCTCATGATGTCAGCCACTGCTGCTTCATGTTGTCTGCCACTGCTACCTCATGATGTCAGCCACTGCTGCTTCATGTTGTCTGCCGCTGCTACCTCATGATGTCAGCCACTGCTGCTTCATGTTGTCTGCCGCTGCTACCTCATGATGTCATCCACTGCTGCTTCATGTTGTCTGCCACTGCTACCTCATGATGTCAGCCACTGCTGCTTCATGTTGTCTGCCACTGCTACCTCATGATGTCAGCCACTGCTGCTTCATGTTGTCTGCCGCTGCTACCTCATGATGTCAGCCACTGCTGCTTCATGTTGTCTGCCACTGCTACCTCATGATGTCAGCCACTGCTGCTTCATGTTGTCTGCCGCTGCTACCTCATGATGTCAGCCACTGCTGCTTCATGTTGTCTGCTGCTGCTACCTCATGATGTCAGCCACTGCTGCTTCATGTTGTCCACCACTGCTACCTCATGATGTCAGCCACTGCTGCTACCTCATGATGTCAGCCACTGCTGCCTCATGATATCAGCTACTGCTGCTTCACGTTGTCTGCTGCTGCTACCTCATGATGTCAGCTACTGCTGCTTCATGTTGTCTGCTGCTGCTACCTCATGATGTCAGCTACTGCTGCTTCATGTTGTCTGCCACTGCTGCTTCATGTTGTCTGCCACTGCTGCTTCATGTTATCAGCCACTGCTGCTTCATGTTGTCCGCCACTGCTGCTTCATGTTGTCTGCCACTGCTGCTTCATGTTGTCTGCCACTGCTGCTTCATGTTGTCTGCCACTGCTGCTTCATGTTGTCTGCCACTGCTGCTTCATGTTGTCTGCCACTGCTGCTTCATGTTGTCCGCCACTGCTGCTTCATGTTGTCTGCCACTGCTGCTTCATGTTGTCTGCCACTGCTGCTTCATGTTGTCCGCCACTGCTACCTCATGATGTCTGCCACTGCTGCTTCATGTTGTCTGCCACTGCTACCTCATGATGTCTGCCACTGCTGCTTCATGTTGTCCGCCACTGCTGCTTCATGTTGTCCGCCACTGCTACCTCATGATGTCTGCCACTGCTGCTTCATGTTGTCCGCCACTGCTACCTCATGATGTCTGCCACTGCTGCTTCATGTTGTCTGCCACTGCTGCTTCATGTTGTCCGCCACTGCTACCTCATGATGTCTGCCACTGCTGCTTCATGTTGTCTGCCACTGCTACCTCATGATGTCTGCCACTGCTGCTTCATGTTGTCTGCCACTGCTACCTCATGATGTCAGCCACTGCTGCTTCATGTTGTCCGCCACTGCTGCTTCATGTTGTCTGCCACTGCTGCTTCATGTTGTCCGCCACTGCTGCTTCATGTTGTCCGCCACTGCTGCTTCATGTTGTCTGCCACTGCTACCTCATGATGTCTGCCACTGCTGCTTCATGTTATCAGCCACTGCTGCTTCATGTTGTCTGCCACTGCTGCTTCATGTTGTCCGCCACTGCTACCTCATGATGTCTGCCACTGCTGCTTCATGTTGTCCGCCACTGCTACCTCATGATGTCAGCCACTGCTGCTTCATGTTATCAGCCACTGCTACCTCATGATGTCAGCCACTGCTGCTTCATGTTGTCTGCCACTGCTACCTCATGATGTCTGCCACTGCTGCTACCTCATGATGTCAGCCACTGCTGCTTCATGTTGTCTGCCGCTGCTACCTCATGATGTCAGCCACTGCTGCTTCATGTTGTCTGCCACTGCTACCTCATGATGTCTGCCACTGCTGCTACCTCATGATGTCAGCCACTGCTGCTTCATGTTGTCTGCCGCTGCTACCTCATGATGTCAGCCACTGCTGCTTCATGTTGTCTGCCACTGCTACCTCATGATGTCAGCCACTGCTGCTTCATGTTGTCTGCCGCTGCTACCTCATGATGTCAGCCACTGCTGCTTCATGTTGTCTGCCGCTGCTACCTCATGATGTCAGCCACTGCTGCTTCATGTTGTCTGCCACTGCTACCTCATGATGTCAGCCACTGCTGCTTCATGTTGTCCGCCACTGCTGCTTCATGTTGTCCGCCACTGCTGCTTCATGTTGTCTGCCACTGCTGCTTCATGTTGTCCGCCACTGCTGCTTCATGTTGTCTGCCACTGCTACCTCATGATGTCAGCCACTGCTGCTTCATGTTGTCTGCCACTGCTACCTCATGATGTCTGCCACTGCTGCTTCATGTTGTCTGCCACTGCTGCTACCTCATGATGTCAGCCACTGCTGCTTCATGTTGTCCGCCACTGCTACCTCATGATGTCAGCCACTGCTGCTTCATGTTGTCTGCCGCTGTTACCTCATGATGTCAGCCACTGCTGCTTCATGTTGTCTGCCGCTGCTACCTCATGATGTCAGCCACTGCTGCTTCATGTTGTCCCCCACTGCTACCTCATGATGTCAGCCACTGCTGCTACCTCATGATGTCAGCCACTGCTGCCTCATGATATCAGCTACTGCTGCTTCACGTTGTCTGCTGCTGCTACCTCATGATGTCAGCTACTGCTGCTTCATGTTGTCTGCTGCTGCTACCTCATGATGTCAGCTACTGCTGCTTCATGTTGTCTGCTGCTGCTGCCTCATGATATCAGCTACTGCTGCTTCACGTTGTCTGCTGCTGCTACCTCATGATGTCAGCTACTGCTGCTTCATGTTGTCTGCCACTGCTGCTTCATGTTGTCTGCCACTGCTACCTCATGATGTCTGCCACTGCTGCTTCATGTTGTCTGCCACTGCTACCTC